TTTTTTTTTTTTTTTTTATGTTCATGGCTTCATGCACTCCAATAAGAAAGAAATGAAATATCTGACATATGTTCAATTTTTTTTAGATTATAAAATGAAAGACAATTTTTCTATTCTAAATTTATGAAATAAGATGATGCATGTTAAATTAGGAGAGACATGATGAGGAGTGAAAGAAAGGTAATAGTAATGTTTGAATTCTTTTCTGCACTTATATGCTATTAAGTCTGTTACGGTTTGGTCGGAGGTTTTATGAGTTTTACTATAAAAATAAGTTAAATTGCAAAGAACATCATTATGTACAAGGAATAATTATTTTCTACTTATATCAATCAATTTAATTATTTCTAATAAATTGATAATATCTAATAGCAATTCTTGTAAGTAAAGAGTAGGTATTCTTATAACTAAATTATAGAAAGTAAAGAGTAGGTATTCTTCATATTATATATTATATATTAATAGAGATTTATTTATATATAAGTTTTATACATTATATTTATATAAAATCTCGATTATTTATCTTTATTCAATACTTGAGGTTTTTTTATCACTTTTCAAATAAAAAAGATAATTATTTTTAATAAATATAATAAATAGGTAAATAAATATCTATCATTGAAAGTAAAAAAATAAATTATTAAAAATTTGTATAAATAATTGTGTATAAAATTTATACATAAATGAATTCTTACTAATGTAATATTATACTTTCTATTTATCTTATTTTTACATTTAAGATTTGACAAAAGAAATAACAGACATTAATTTCTTCCAACCAAATATGACATCAGTGCGTTTTGAGTAACATTTTGAAAATAAGACCAGATCGAACAATCAAACTAGTCAAACCAATTCCTAATAGCATAAGCAATTCAGGTGGGCATCTAAAACCGATAGAGAAGTTGAACTATTTAAAAGTTAAAACCAATAAAACCATTTAAATCAATCTAAATCACTAAACCATTGAACTAGATGGTTTAAAGATTTTGGTAAAAGACTCAAAGGATTCGCCACCTCCATGGTTCAAACGTATGATCCTTCAGGGACTCTTTTGCAAACTTTCGCCACTAGAGCACACTGAAATTGTTTGCATATAAATTATATGAGAGAAAGTAAAATAAAGTTCCGAGCAACACATTTAATAATTGTGATTAAATATTTTGAAATTTTTAATATTAAAATATTTTAATTTTTTATTTTCTTTGATTATATTTATTTATTTTGAACATGAAAGAATTTGGAAGAAGAAGATTTTTTTTAAGTTATTAGTGAAAGTCGAATTTCTAATCAATTACACCTCAAGCGTTTAAAAGTTGAGAACCAACTATGAAACTGAAAGTCCGGTTCCTCTGATTACATTTACTTAAGCGTTAGACAGAAAAGAATGCCACCCAAGAGAGTAGTACTATTTTCACCTCGGTTAAGGGTAGAGGCTTCCCCTGATGTGAAGCATCATATTTGTTGTGCTCTGCGCTGAAATTTCTAATAAAATAGATATATAATAATAAATTAATTTTGCTTTCTTAGGATTGAGCTTACAACCTTCTAGGTTCAAACAACTGTTTTAAACCAGAAGCCCCTTTGAACTTACGAATATGAGTCGCGTAACCTTCTAGGTTCAAACTCAACTTTATCTTCTATTTTTCTTTACAGTAGAATATAATATAAGTGAATATATAAATTATTTAAAAATTTTTAATTTAAAAAATTTTTTAAATAATAATTATTTTTTGAAAAAATTGAGTAATTAAGGCAAAATTTTCACCCTACACCAAAACAACAATGTATTGTGACTACTAAGAAATTTATTGAAGTTGACGTTAAGATTGTACCATATGGGTTAGGGAACACGAGAATTAATTACAATCACATGCAGGTTATTTCGGATAATTCCGTTTTTAATAATTTAGGCACTTGATTAGCCATACTGCATTTACTTTTCTGGTAGGATGAACAATCTAAAATCTTATAATATTGAACCAAAAGTTTGCTTGCCATTCTATAATAAATTAACATATGAAAACAACATTTTCATTAAAGGTACTTTACTAAATTTATAAATGTGCTTTTAGTGTAACAATCTTATCCTTAAAAACCACATTTTCCGTTATCTTATCCAAATAAATTAAGTGGTAAAATTTTCACCATCTATAAAAAAGTAATAATTAAATAAAGCATAAAGTTCATAATTAAGACATTATTATTCATAAATTAAGTTCATCTCAGGATTACATCCCTCACGCAATTATTCATCATTATATGTTTAATTTCTGCAATACCCTATAGTGCCAAATACATATATATGCGCTTAATTAATTAGTAAGGTCGCTGCCCACTGATATTGCCTCGAGGATCGTAGTTGCAGCTGATGAGTGTTCCACCATTGTTACACCTGACCTTAGCACATCCCAGACGGACCGACTTGCGCCACACCACCTGAGTGTAATGCCCACAAACCTTACCGGCGGCGCAACTATTGGATTGGTAGTTATAGTCAGCCTTCTCATTGACCCACATTTGGACGGCAGCCACGCCAGTCAGGTCACCGCTGCTCCACGCAAGGTTCTCTCCATAAGGTCCACCAGAGTGCACCATTTTGCAGTCACCGATGTGCTTGTTGAGGTAGTTCTGTGCATATGCAGCCAAGGTGGGGTCCCAAGTCATGGGGCCAACACCTACGGCAGCACGAGCTGAGTTGTGCGCATTGATCAAGTTTTGTGGAGAGAGCTGGGCATGGGAGGGGAGGACATGGGCTAGGACCAGGAGACAAGCAAGAGCTAGGGAAACCTTAGAAATATCCATTATGGTTTGAATACAAAGAAATTAATGCTGAAAATATCTGAATTGGGTATGAGAAATGGAAATATTGAAACGTATTTATAATATTCCAACGTGGAAAAGTATAACCGCGTAACCCAGTCAAGCACGTTCTTTTGTGAAAAATTGTGCCAATAAAACCAACAAAAACAAGCTGCTCAGTGGATTTGAAAATTTTACTTTGGAAAACTGGTTGTTGGAGCTTTTTTCTAATGGATTATATAGACAAATTACATTGCCACATTTGAAATATCTTTTGTACTTTCATAATAAAATTATTTTTATTAATAAAAATAATAAAAGATGAATAATTTTATTTATTTATAAATTAAAAATCTTCATAATTAAATTTTAAGATTAAATTTACTCCAAACAAAAGTGTCATGCCAAGTTCAAGCATTAAGTATTAAGGAAAATTTTGAGAGTCTGGCTTTAAAATTGCAAAAGGATTGGGGAGATTTGGCATGAAAAACATTTGACTGTTAAAAATGAGGTCTAGATGAACAACAGTCATGTGACGCATGTTCTTTTGAAAAGTCACCAAACAAATAAAGTAGAAATAACTGGGAAAATTTTCAATATTGGCTTCCGTTTTCAGTCAAAATCAACAAACAAAATATGTTGTTAATTTCTGGATAGAGCATTATCTTTTAATTAATTCCATCCACAGAGTCGCCATAGTTGATCGTGAATTACGGCATTGGACAAAAGATTGATCTTAAAAGTCCAAATTTTAGTATAATTCCGTTGATTTTTTTGAATTTTTAAAAATAAATATTAAAAAAATTTAACAATTTATATAAATAATAATTAAAATTTTTTTATATAAAATTTTTATTGAGTATTTTAATTTAATAAAAAATTTTAATTATTATTTATATAATATATTAAATTATTATTTAAATTTTATATTAAAAAAATTAAATTAAAATTATTAAAAATAAATAGAGATTAAATGAAAACGGGCCGCCAGGGTCACTGAATCCAATTGTGAACGTAGACCATGTCCAGATAACCACACTATTCAAACCATGTTAGGTCATATCGCTATTGGCATTGCTTAGAAGGAAAATCCTCAATTCCCGGTCAATTAAGGACTTGATTCATTGATTAAATTCCCATAACAGTAGTATCCATTCTCTCTCTCTCTCTTTACTTTTTCAAAAGATGGAAAATTTGCATGAACTTACTCTTTTATAATTTAAATTATATTATTATAAAATAAAAATTATTAAATAAAAAAAATTAATATCAAGAGCTCTGCCTACAATGGATTAAATTGTGCAATACACAACACATATTTTAAATTTTATTTTGAGGGGAGGCATGATAAAAATCAAATACGATTTTGAATCCACCTAATCTGAAGGCTCTTACGCTCAAATCCACTAGTTCATTGATTCGGCACAAAAATGTGTGTGCTAGTGAATTCTTGTTTAGTAGGGACGTTCTCCCACGCAATTGGCCGGGAAATGAGGATCGTAGTTACAAGTCACGAACCACCAACCAGTTTTGTATTCAACCCTTTCACAATTTTTTTTTTTTTTATTAAGTGAAATTACTAAGTAAAAATTACATATAACAAAGGAAAAGTTTTCAATTAATATTCATTTTCTATGTTAAATTTTCACTTAAATTTTTTTAGTAAGAAATCAATCAGAAAATTGGTTTGTAGCCAATGGTGCTAGTTTTTAAGTGGACAAAATTATTAAAATGATATCGTTCTAGTGTTAAAGCCTCTATCCCTCATGTTCCTCCATTTTCCCATTCCATCCCCTTCATTGAACATAATCTCTAACCTCCAATCTATTGATGTGTCTTCTTCATGAATGATTCCTTTTCTTCATCTGTGATTTGCCTCTTCTATTGCTGGGTGCTTTTCGCTCATTATCTTAAAGTTTGATAGATTTTTCTTCATCTTGTTCTTCCTTCGATTGCTATGATTTCTCACAATTTTGATTGCCATTTAGTTCTCATTGATCAAATTTCCTTCATCTTACTCCCTCTTCATCTTCAATAGCTATTATTTCTCTCTTAAATATAGGTTTCATCTTTAAGCATTTAATTTCAGTTCATTTCTTTTTATAGGGATAAATTTCATCTAGTTAAGTGTCAAGTTCAAGAGATTTTCATTTTGCTGCAAATAAATTTTAGAGGTTATTCAAAAAATGTGACTTCCTTTCAATGCAATGATTCTCTAGAGAATTGAGCTTAAATATTACCTATGTTGGTTTAGGGATGAGATTATAGTATTATACTATCAAGGGAACTTTTATATGCTTATGTATTATTGTATTGATGAAAGACAAGTCAAGGGCTTTTTTTGTCTATTAACTTGGTGTTGGCTTTATCTCTTAGATATTGTAAAGTTAGCTGTAAATTTGCTTCTTCTATTGCCTCTACTACTTTATTATGTCTCTTTAACATATTCATGTAAATTAGTATCACAATGATATGGATGCTTCTTCCGATGCACAATTTCACAATGTTATACACCAAGAAGATAAAAATTTACCTCAATTGCAGAATAGAAAAATGTATACAATTGACTAAAATTTATTTTAGATAAAGTGCAAGCTCTTTCCATTGCATTAAAAGCATTATACATCTTACACTTGGCATACTTGGGGAAATTTCTCTTTATAGTTTGGCAAGACTTTGAATCAAAATTTGTGTATTTACAATCTTGGAAACACTATTTATATTTTTTACCTTTTCAAGCATCACCAACTAGCTCCTTGCTCTCCAAATGCCATATGTAGTAGCGGTAATCCTAATTTTACACTTCTAGTTCCATGGCCTATTTTACAAATTTCCCTAATCATGTTCATCTATTCATTTCAACTAAAGAGTACAAAACTCAAATGTATAATTGAAATTAGTATCAAAATCAAACATGAAGAGTGCCACCTTCCCCCCATTTCAAAAACTCATCATTTTTTTTCTTTAGCCTTCATCACAAACGCTAATGAAGGTTGTTCAAAGAATATGAAAAACTAAATCATGGAACTGAAAGCTACAATATGCACCTACTCTTGAAAGTGAAAAACCAAACCATGAACGTCCTCAAAGCACTCACCCTACGGAGTCAACCTACAATATGAAGCAACAAAGTTTTGGACAATTCATATATATATTTAAGTTTGTAAATAATCATGAATAACCAATTTCCTAAGAACTAAGAAGTACTGAAATGTCAACAACATGCACATTAGATATATGACTAGCCTGAATATAAACTCAACCATAGTATTAAATAAATAAGACTAGAAAAGCAAAAGAATTACCTCCAAGGAAACATTATTGAATGATATAACTTCCCTTCCTTTATAAAAAAATAAAATAAAAATAAAATAAAGAAAATTTATATTCCAAATAGTCGAATGTAACCTTTCTTTCTCCTCATAAGAATTGAACTTGCTTACAATAAATAAATGATCCGATTAAGGCAATAAGAACTCAAGGTACTAAACATTCAGCAAAGCCCCCCCCCCCCCACTCCTTGTTCCTTCTTGATTTGGTCATCTAATCATATAGAAAGTATGTCAACCATAATCTCCATATAATACCACCTTAGATTACATACCATCCTTTCCTCACTAACTTGTCATACCTAAACCAGGCATGTTGTTTAAATAAATTCAAACATGAGTTAGGGGGCACAAAAAGTAAACCCTACCATGCATCATCTCATTTAAAGTCACAAAGCAACTATACAATTAAGGAATAAAAGGCTTGACTCTTCTAAAGCTAATTTACAAAGCCCACAAGCAGCAAAAGCACCATCAAGTAAAATGCCTTTTAGCTAAACCATCTTTCACCGGAATTCTAGCTCGGAAAATGAACAATGTACAATGAACATAATGACCATGATAATGAAATAAAGACCTTACCTAAAACAATTCAAAAAAGAATATAAAAGTGTAACTTATCCCAAACGCTCCCAATGGATCCCTGTTATTTGAGGCAAAAAAAAAAAAGTTTTGGACCCAAATAAGAAGCATTGTGGAGCATATGTACCAAAGAGCTGTAATATTTTCTGTTAATTTGGCTATTCTTTCACTCCAATTTATTTTTTCTTTCTTCGTTTTCTAGTTGTTCTTCCTCTACGTTTTAAAGTTTTCAATGATTCTTAGCAGAGATCTCAATGGGAAATTGAAGAAAAGTAGAATCAAGTTTGGGGAAATCAAAGGATGAATAGAGGGTTTTTGAATAATGAGAAACATAAGAAAATCAAAGAAGAAGAGAAGAGATTATTGGCACAAAGATGAAGAATTAATTTGGAGAAGGAATTTGTACCGTGGGTTTGTGAATTTCTATTATAGGAGAACATTGAAGACGAGAAAAGGCAAAATTGGGATTACCAAACTTTTAACACTAAAAGACATCGTTCTATTAAAGCCAACTGTCTGCAAATTAACATTAATGACTGTAAATCAGTTTTCTGAAAATTAAAAAATAAAATTAAAATTACTATTGTTAAATAGAGGGACATGTAGTTAAACAACAAACGAACTCCACTATTTCACTTAATTATTCCAAATCCAAAAGAAATCATAGAAATCAACTTAATACACCCATGTTTAATTAGTAAGGACGTTGGCCCTCAATATTTCCGTAGGGATCATAGTTGCAAATCACAAAAACCCACCCATTCTTGCACTTGACCCGACCGCACCCGAGATGAACGGAGTTACGCCAAACCACCTGGGTGTAGTGCAGGCATTCGCCGTTCACACACGAGTTCTTAGCATGGTTGTAGTTAGGCTTCTCACCGGCCCACATTTTCACGGCGTCAACGCCACTAAGGTCAGGGTAGCCCGCTGCAAGGTTCTCCCCATAGGGGCCATCAGAATGCACCATGTTGCAGTCTCGAATCCTTTTCTTGGCGTATTTTTGAGCATAGGCTGCCACTGTAGTGTTCCAGGTCATTGGACCGACCCCAACCTTGGCTCGAACCGCGTTGTGGGCTCGAACGTAGTCTTGAGGGGAGTTTTGAGCTAGAGAGAGGTGGGCTAACAGGGTGAGACCCACGAAGAAAACGGCTAACAAGAACTTATCAAACCTCATTTTCCACCTCCCTAGAACTGAAGTTTTGATGGTTTTTGATATGATGAACCAAAATGTGTAAGGTATTTATAGACAATTTCCTAATAATTATAAATATGCAAATTGCATTAGTACTCTTCGTATATATGCATGACATTCCATCTACATTATTAAAACTTGTAATTGATTTTGTAACTTGCCTCCATATTATTTAAGAAAAGAAAAATTATTATTAATGATATATAAGTGTAAGGATCCACTACTAATAACAATTAGACAATACAAAAAAAGTCCTCAATTATAATGCTTTTTCCCAGGGCAAATTATTATAACAAAAAAACGTCACAACAAGGCTTTTTTTTTTTTAGTGGGAGTTTTATAAACTTTTGAAAACTTTTAAACTTTAAATTAAAGAATTATTAAAAGAGTGGTGGTGTTGTGAATATAATTTATTTATTTTATTTTTTTATATGTTATTAAATAAGTAAAACATTTAATATCATAAATCTCATATAAAATAAAAAAAAAATAATTATTTTAATAATATATTAAATTATATAAAAAATAAAATAAAATAATTATCTCAATAACATTTTTTATTAAAATAATTTAAACATTTTGATTAGTCATGATTAGAGTACTTGCATCAAAAGCCACCATATCAGGGGCATCTTTCCGCAGACTCCGCTATGAATATCCGCAATTGACTTAAAGAAAAGGGGCAAGTAAAGTGTACCAGAGTCCTCGAATTTGATGCAAATAATTAAGAGCAAGTGATGATCGATCTAGAGATTAGAAGTTAGAAGATACAGAGAATGAATGTTGGTCCCAATTAATATATAATTTTAATAAATAAATTTAAATAATTTAGTAATATTTTTTATTAAAAATAAAAAATTTTAAATTTAAATTACATTACATATAAATAAAATAAAATAAAAAATAAAAAAACTATTTCTAATTGTATTCCCAACATAAAAAATATATATATATATATATAACTCTAACTACTATACTCAATTTCTAAACCAGAATTTTCAACATCTCTGATCGCGCGATTACCGCCTACATCATGCAGAGGAGTGATCTCTACTTTTTTTTTTTTTTTCTTCCCCTCTAGTTCTTTTGATTTTTTAAAAACTTTTTGACTCCATTCTCAGCTTCCATTTGTAATCTGCAGTTTTTTCTTTTACTTTCTTTTTTTTTCTAAAATATTTCTAGGTTGCGCCAATTCTTTCTTACATCTTTTACCTGAAAACGTGCAAATAAGAATTTTATTACATTCTCTATATTAGTATATAAATTTTTTAGATTTTTAAAATAGGCTATAAATTTTCATTTTCTTCTAAATAAAGATGTGGTTTTTACATTTTTTTCTAAATAAGAATATAAATTTTTTTTTCTATTTAAAGATGATGATGATAATATAATAAACGATAATTTTAATCAAAATAGGCTAAATTTTGAATTCTTAAATGAAAAAAAGCAAAGTATATATCTCTAAATAAAAAAAAGTGAAAGTTTATAACTTGATTTAAAAATAAAAAAATATTTCTACCTTTAAATAAAAAAATAACAATGTTCTATTATCATTTAAATATTTTTTTTTATCTTTTTATTCATCACACCTGATAGTTAGAGCATGCTTAGATTCATGAAAATGAAATTTATTTACCATTTGGGTGAAGAAACAAGAAATCAAAGACGCAATCTACAGAATGGAATCATGGCCTCATTTCATTTTTCTTTTTTTTTTTCCCCTTTTGAAAAATGAAAATTAGGGAAAAAGACACTTTGGTTGTCAATTTTCTGGTGTTGGTGAAAATTAGTTTAATTTTTCTACTTCAGCTTTTAAACTTCTAGAATGAGTTTATTTCTATGCTCCCATTCTTGGGTGATGAATTTGAATTTCTCACCTTCAACAACAAAGAGAAATTTAGAGGGGGAATGAAGAAAAAATTAATCAACGAAGACAAATCTGCAGTGGGCTAACTAAAACCCAATTCGCAAAGGGTTTGAAATTCTAGTTTACGCCCATCCCTACTTCTGTTTTTCTTTTGGGCCAGCAGCCGACTCCGGCCCTTCCTTTTCGCAGGCTAATCATTTTGCTGATTGGATTGGCCAGAACGCCCAGAAATATGTCGAAGGGTGTGCTACCTTTCCATTGGGCTCATTCACTCTAATAGAGGTTATTATTATTATTATTATTATTATTATTATTATTATTATTATTATTATTATTATTATTATTATTATTATTATGGCTTCATGAACTCAAATAAGAAAGAAATGAAATATATGACATATGTTTAATTTTTTTTAGATTATAAAATATGAAAGACAATTTTTTAATTCTTTCATTCATTTAACCCATATACCATATAATTTAAATTCAAAACTTTTTTTGATGAAAAAAATTATCAACTAGAACACTTAAATGGTTGACATGTTAAATTTATTAAATAGGATGATGCATGTTAAATTAGGAGAGGCATGATCAGGACTGAAAGAAAGGTAATAGTAATGTTTGAATTATTTTCTGCACTTGTATGCTATTAAGTCTGTCATGGTTTGGTCGGAGGCTTTATAAGTTGGCAAACCCTAAAAAAATATCAGTAGGAACATATCCACCCCTCAAAAAAAAGTACAGACAAATTGTTCTTATAAATCATAAATCAATACAAATCAGTTCTTTTTCAATAAAAAAACATCAGAATTATGTTTGCCACATCAACATTTTTAACGAAAAACATTAAAAAATGGGTGATTTATATTGATTTATGATTTAGAAGAGTAATTTATCTTTGCTTTTTTTTAGGGGTGGATATATTCCTACCGATATTTTTTTAAGGTGAATTTGAGAGTTTTACCTCATAAGTTTTACTATAAAAATAAGTTAAATTGCAACGAACATCATTATGTATCAGGAATAATTATTTTCTACTTATATCAATCAATTTAATTATTTCTAATAAATTGATAATATCTAATAGCAATTCTTGTAAGTAAAGAGTAGGTATTCTTCATATTATATATTATATATTAGTAAAGATTTATTTATCTACAAATTTTACACATTCTATTTATATAAAATTTCAATTATTTATCTCTCCTCAATACTTGAGGTTTATTATCATTTTTTAGATAAAAAATAATTATTTTTAATAAATATAATAAACAAATAAATAAATATTTATCACTGAAAATAAAAAATAAATTATTAAGATTTTATATAAATAGTAGTATATAAAATTTATATGTAAGTGAATTTTTACCCACGTAATATTATACTTTCTATTTATCTTATTTTTACATTTAAGATTTGACTAAAGAAAGAACAGACGTTAATTTCATCCAACAAAATATAACATCAATGGCTTCTGAGCAACATTTTGAAAATTAGACCAGATCGAATAGTCAAACTAGCCAAACCAATACTTAATAACATTAGCAAATCAGGTGAGCATCTATAAAACCGATAGAGAAGTTGATCTATTTAAAAGTTAAAACCAATAAAACCATTTGAACCAATTTAAATCACTAAACCATTGAACTAGACGGGTTAAAGATTTTGGTAAAAGACTCAAAGGATTCGCCACCTCCATGGTTCAAACGTACGACCCTTCAGGTACTCTTTTGGAAGCTTTTGCCACTAGAGCACACTGAAATTGTTTGCGTAAAATTATATGGGAAAAGAGAAAATAAAGTTACGGGTTACATATTTAATAATTATGATTAAATATTTTAAAATTTTAATATCAAAATATTCTAATTTTATTTTCTCTAATTACATTTATTTGACTTAAGCGTTAGACAGAAAAGAGTGCCACCCGAGAGAGTAGTACTCTTTTCATCTTGGTTAAGGGCAGAGACTTCCCTTGATGTGAAGCATCATATTAATTTGTTGTGCTCCGTCTTGAAATTTCTAATAAAATAGATACATAATAATACATTAATTTTTCTTTCTAAGGATTCGAGCTTACAACCTTCAAGGTTTAAACAAATGTTTTAAACCAGAAGCCCCTTCGAACTTACAAATGCAAGTCACATAACATTACATTTATTCATGCAGAACATATTATTAAAGTTAAGTATCAATTTTGATCATTTAATTTTAAGATTTTATATTATTTTTATTCTTTACTTTTTTATGTATTTTTGTAGTTCTTCTATTAATTAATTTATTAAGTTAGTTTAAATATGTATATTTTTGGTCTCTTAACTTATAATATATAAGTTTTTTTAGTTTTTTAATTTACAATATAGGTACATTTTTCATCTATTAATTTAAATGTTTAGAGAATAAAAATATTTATATTTAAATAAATTTAACAAATTAATTTATAAAAATTTAAAAAATATATCTTTCATAATTTAAAGACAAAAATTATATAAAATTAAGTGATCAAAATTTACATTTAATCTATTATTAATGTTAATCAATTTAACTAATAATTAGATCAATCCAACCAATTAAATTGTTTAAATCAAAAACTAAAAGCAAAAACGGTTCAACTTCCGATTTAATTTTCTAAACATTGATTTTGAGTTGCTTAGGAGTATACACTAACATCTCGGTAATATCTGTGGTCCCATGGCATGGCCTTTCTTTCTTGTCAACATTATTGCAACTTACAGCGAGATACCAATATGAGATACTGATATTTCTTTTTTATTTTTTATCTATATTTAGAGTTTTTTTTTTTTTAAATTAGTTTTGGCCTAAATTAATAAATAATTTAATAATTTTTTTATTTTTTTATTTTATCTATTATCTTTAAATATTTTTACACTCATCAATTATTTTTTATGTTTATTTTTATTTCATTTAGTCTACTAACTTTCTAATATAACAATTTCACTTTATTTGATCAAATGGATTTTTAATTACATCTTTTTTAAATTTTTACTCTTTAAAATTAATTTTGAAATAAAACTAATTTTGTGAGGATAATAAATTCTTTTTTACTATCTAAGTAATTGTATCATTTATCACACACTACAATTTTTTCTTTTAAAAATTCTCTCTTGTAGTAAAAATCCCAATTATTGACATACTTTAATAATTTACACAATTTATCATGAATTATTTTACTGATTGGGACTATTATGTTTTAATTTTGATTTAACTTTTATGTTATTTTTTTGTTAAAATTAATGAAAGTTTTGTATAAATAAACTATTTTGAACTATTTTGCAAAGTTTATAAACCATCTAAAAAAACTAACTTTCTAAAGTAAAATAAAATTAGATTGATAATTAATAGATTAATCATTGAATTAAGCCAATTAGGTTTTATATATTTTGATGATAATTTTAAGGTACATTTCCAACATTAACCTATTATATACCAAAAAAAAAATTACTTTCTTTAGATATTAATTTTAAGATTTAAATTTTAAATTTGATTTATAAAATAACATTTAGTTATCTAATGAATTTAACCCGGAGGATTAGAAACTGATATTCTTTTTAAATATAAAAATGTTTTATTAGGATACCTTCGGGGATTTTTTTTTGTTTGGGTGGTTACTGGTTAATAGACTTGACAAAAATCCATCCGATCCATCAACTCAACCCTAACTCAACACATAAAAACGAGTTAGGGTCTACATATCTCAACCCCTAACCCGTAAATAACTTGTATTATCAATCCGTATGAGTTACAGGTCGGATTAAGGTCAACTCGTGGGTTGACGGATTGACTTATTTGTTTTATTTTTTAATATTGTTTTTAAATATTATACTTATTATTCTTAATTAATTTTTTTATTGGTAACTCTTTCCATTAATTCATACTCCTTAATTTCTAGAGAAAGAAGAAGAAATTACGATAAATTTGATCTAATTAACCAAGTATCATTTTTTTTTTTTTTTGATATTAACAATTACCCAAGTATCATGAATGAAATGATAATGCAACTAAAAATATTAAAAAATGTGATGTTAGGACATAAACATGATAACTTAGTGAAATATGTTCTTGAAAGAGCAATTTCATCATTAAAAAAATGGCTTAAACTATTTAATAATGTTTCAAGATAATTATAAAATTAAAACTTGATTTTCTAAGAAATTTAAATATTTTATGTTTAATATTATTATTGTTAATCAATTTATTATTATTTATAACTTTTTTTTCTTAATTTAAATATTTGTGATTGAGATTATAAAATATTTAGTGTTAATGAATTGTAATATTTTAATTATATTTAGATATATATAATTTTATTTGTATATAATAAAATTAATGAAAAATAATTATAAAAAATGAAAATAAGGTCAATCCGTGGGTTAACCCGTAACCCGTTAGGATCGGATTAAGGTTGGACTTTTTTAACCCGCAACCCATTTATAGCCTAACCCGTATAATCCGTCATTCAAGTTGACCCAACCCACCCGTTTGCCAAGTCTACTGGTTAGTGTTTATGGGGTAACTTTTGTGTAACCTGATAT